CAGCGCCAGGCGGCCAAAAACTACGCGGACAAACTGGACGGGGTGCCGGCCCTGGAGGAGCTCACCGACATTCCCGGAGGTGATTCCCACTTTTTGGGGGGGATTCTGGAGGTGCAAAGTCCCTTGATGAGGTCACTGACATTCCCGGAGGTGATTCCCACTTTTTTTTTTTAATTCTGGGAGTGCAAAGTCCCTTGATGAGGTCACTGACGTTCCCGGAGGTAATTCCCACTTCTTTTTTTGGGATTATTGGAGCATAGAGTCCCTCAGTGTCCTCAACAATATTCCCTGAGGTGATTCCCACTTTTTTGGCACGTTGGGGCAGCTCAAAATCCCTCCGTGAGCTCATTGACATTCCCAGAGTTGATTCCCACTCTTTTTTGAGACTGTGGGAGCACAGAGTCCCTCAGTCAGTTTACCGACATTCCCAGAGGTGATTCCAACTTTTTTGGGGGGATTCTGGCCGTGCAAAGTCCCTCAGTGAACTCACTGACATTCCCGGAGGTGATTCCCACTTTTTTGGCTGATTGGAGCAGCTCAAAGTCCCCCCATGAACTCACTGACATTCCAGAGGTAATTCCCACTGGTTTTTTTTGGGGGGGGATTCTGGCAGTGCAAAGTCCCTCAGTGACCTCACCAACATTCCCGGAGGTAATTCCCACTTCTTTGGGGGATTGGGGCAGCTCAAAATCCCTCGATGAGCTCACTGACATTCCCAGAGGTGATTCCCACTTTTTGGGGGGATTCTGGAGGTGCAAAGTCCCTCCATGAGCTCACTGACATTCCCGGAGGTGATTCCCACTTTTTTTGGGAGCACAGAGTCCCTCCATGAGGTCACTGACATTCCCTGAGGTAATTCCCACTTTCTTTTTGGGATTCTGACAGTACAAAGTCCCTCAGTGACCTCAACAACATTCCCAGAGGTGATTCCCACTCTTTTTGGGATTGTGGGAACACAGAGTCCCTCAGTGAGCTCACTGATATTCCCAGAGGTAATTCCCACTTTTTTGGCACATTGGGGCAGCTCAAAATCCCTCCATGAGCTCACTGACATTCCCAGAGGTAATTCCCACTTTTTTGGCACATTGGGGCAGCTCAAAATCCCTCAATGAGCTCACTGACATTCCCAGAGGTGATTCCCACTTTTTGGATGATTCTGGGGCACAAAGTCCCTCCATGAGCTCACCGACATTCCAGAAGAAATTCCCACTTTTTTGGGGGGGGGAATTCTGGCAGCTCAAAGTTCCTCCCATGGTGCCACCACCAATATCAACCCTCCCAGTGAAAACTCAGGATATTGGGATAAAATCCTTTGGATAAGAGGGAATTTTTCCGTTGGTTGGGATCAGAATCATTCCTTCATTCCCAAATTAAAGTTGGAAAAGCTCCTCAAATTCACCAAATCCTGTTTTTCACCAAATCCCACCAAAAAAAAAAAAAAAAAAAAAAAAAAAAAAAAAAAAAAAAAAAAAAAAAAAAGCCAGGAAATTCCACATCTCATGATTTTTTTTTTTAACCCTTCCAGGGATGGAAAATCCAACACTTCCCAATCCTAAATCGCTCTTCCCATTTGGAATTCTTGTCCCAAACATTCAATTTCTGGGAAAACTGGAGGCCAGATCCCATTTTCCCATCAATTTGCTTCCTGTCAAGGAGTCCAAACGAGAATTCCATGCTGAAAATTCCCAACTGGAATTAATTTCAGGGCCTGCCCTTGGGTTGGGGAATACCAGGAACAAAATGGTTGGAATTCCACATTCCCAGGGTTTTTTTTTTGTTTTTTTTTTTTTTCCTGCTGGAATGTTTCTTCTCCGCTGCTCTCACTCTCCTTTCCTGATTCCATAGGCTCTCCCGAAAATCTCCTCACTCTCTCTGGCCAGTCCAGACCTCTCCACTCCCTGCCTGTGCTGAAGGAAGAGGATGAGATGATTCTCCAAGGAATTTAGGGAATTTTCATTCCTGACTTCCTGTGGCTTCTCTTTTCCAAGGGGATATCCATGGACCCTTGGAATTTCTGCTTCTCCGTTCCTGGATTTTTATTTTTTTTTTTCCCTGTTTCCTCAACACCTTTTGATGGCTTTTTATTTTTCCCCTCTTTCCTGTGTCTCTCTGGGAGCTGTAATTCCATAAAAATGACCTTTCCATAATTCCATAAAAATGACCTTTCCATAATTCCATAAAAATGGTGATTCCGTAATTCCATAAAAACGGCAATTCCGTAATCCGTGGGGAAAGAGGCAGATCCCACCATCGTAGGGATTCAGGAATTCCTTGGAGAAATTCAATCCTACACCAGCAAAATGCAGAATTACGAGCTGAACAACGGGAATTTGCACAAATCCCGGGATTTCAGGGGTGTCTGACCTGAAATTGGGAATTCCCAGCCCTCCCTCTGGAGCTGAACTCAATTCCATGAATAAATCCTTGTCCTTCCACTGAATCCTTGTCCTTCCATCCTTAATATCCGAGGACTTGAAATTCCAAGGTCATGCAAAGGTCCTGAGGATCCAATCCCATCCCTCGGAGCAATCCCACCTGGAAAACGTTTCCCAAAGCTTTGATTTGCTTCCCAAAAAAAACAAATTCTGACTCCTAGGGATCAGTAATCCAGGGAATTTGAAGGGTTGTGGCTGTGGATAACAGAATTCCAAATCCATTCCTAAGAATATCCAAAAAAGATAGAAAGGGAATTTGGTTTCATCCCAGAATAAATTTGGATCTCCTGGAAAAAAAAACCCTTTACATCCCACAGATATCCATGAGCTCCATCCAAAGGCAGGATATTGGATCCATTGGAATAATTCCATTGGGAATTCCTACAGTGGGAATTCAGGAATAAATTCCCACATTTTATCCATAAGAAATCCATTTATTTGGATATTCCATGAGGAATAACCAAACTTTTTTTTTTTTCCAGTTAAATGGTGGAAATTAATGTGCAAAATTCCAGGTATTTGGTGGTGGCTCAGGAAAAGCTGTTCTCTCCTCTGGGATTTGGCAAATCCCAAAAATCTTCCCGAATTTCCCAAAAGGAATCAATATTGGGATGGGAATCATCTCTTTCCCAAATATGTTCTCCATATTTATGGATAGGAATGTGTCAGCACGGATTTTCCAGCCTTTATCCATAGGGAAAAGAAAGATTCCATGTTTTCATGGGAGGGGAAATACTGGAGTGGAAAAGTTAAATTTGGCCTGAAAAATTCCTGGGAGTCTCCAGTTTTGGGAATTCCAAAGGATTCGCTCAGCTGAGGGAACCTAGAACTGGCAAAAACTCAGTGGGACCAAATTCCCTTTTTTTTTTCCTCTGGAAATGCATTCAGATCTCAAAAATGGTTTAGGAATTCCAATGGGAATTGTGGAAACCTCTGGGATCCAATTTTTGTCTGTATTCCTGGAAAATTTTGTTTGACCAAATTCCCACATTTTCCCTCTGGAGATCCATCCTGATCCCAAAAAAACCTTCCCTGTGGGATTTAGGAATTCCAATGGGAGTTATAGAAAAATTTGGGATCCATCTCCACGCTGGAATTTTTCTGTGGACAACTGGAAAACTTTGTGGGATCAAATTCCCGAGTTTTCCCTCCAGATTCCAAAAAATCTTCCCAATGTGGTTTAGGAATTCCAATGGGAATTATGGAAAACTTTGGGATCCATCTCTTTGCTGGAATTTTTGTCTGTACTCCTGGAAAACTTTGTGGGACAAAATTCCCAGGTTTTCCCTCTGGAAATGAATCCAGATCCCAAAAAATCTTTTCCACTGCAAGGCTGCTCCAGCTGTTTTGTTGTTTTTTTTTTGGGGAATTCTGGTTCCAACCACGTTTTTTCCAGGGGTGAGTTGGGATTTTTAAATTTTTCCCTCACTCTTTCTTTTTTATGGAATGTCAGGAATTCCCTTGGGATTGTAAGGAATGCTCAGTGTTGTTTTATTCCCGTTTTCCTGGAGAAATAAACGGCCATTCCCAAAGAAAAAAAAGGGTGGAAATTTATTTTCATGGCTGCACCAAAGGGAAATGTGAAAAATCCAAGGATTTCCCACCATCCCAGGGTGCTCCAAGCTTTCCTTGGACACTTCCAGTTGGGAAAATGAAGGGGAAAAATTGGGAAAATGAGGGGGAAAAGTTGGGAAAATGAGGGGGAAAAGTTGGGAAAATGAGGGGGAAAAATTGGGAAAATGAGGGGGAAAATTTGGGAAAATGAGGGGGGAAAGTTGGGAAAATGAAGAAAGTTGGAAAAATGAGGGGGGAAAATTGGGGAAATTAGGAAAGGTTGGAAAAATGGGAAAAAGAGGAAAAGTTTGGTGCTGTGAAATTCCTTCTTAATCATGGAATAATAAGGGAATTTAAGGATCATCCCATTCCATGGGCAGGGGGAAATTCCACCATCCCAGGGTGCTCCAGCCTGGTCTTGGACACTTCCAGGGATGGGGAATCCACAATTTCTTTGGGAATTTGGGGTTTCCCACCTTTAAAATAAAGATTATCCCAAATTCCTCTCAAAAAAAAAAAAAAAAAAACTTATTGGGAGCAATCAGCCAGATGGGAAAATCCCCAGTAGGAATAATTTTCCCTTTATCCCAGATTTCCAGCAGGGAGCTGGAATTTGGACAATTCCTGGTTGTTTAATCCACATCAATTCCTTTCCTGATTTTTTTTTTTTTTTTCCTATCCTTGGAAACAGCTCAGGTGACGGAAGAAAAAAAAGAGGAAGAAATTTCCACAGTATCCGGAAAAGTGGACAAGGCTCAGGGAAAAAAGGATGGATCCAAAGGCTCCAAAAAAAAGGAGGGAGAGAAGGAGCAGAAGGAAGAATCCAAGAAGGAAGGGAAAGATGGAGGCAAAAAAAAAGATGGGGAAAAAGGAGGGAAAGAGGAAAAGGGGGAAAAGGAAAAAGGGGAAAAGGGGAAGGACACAAACGACAAGAAACAAGGGAAAAAGGGGGAAAAAGAAAACGAGGCTGGAAAATCCAAAACCAATGGAAAAACCGGCGGGAATTCCAAAACTCCGGCAAAGAAGAAGTGACTTCCTGGAAGGAAAATGCTGGAATTTTTTTTTTTTTTGGGAATGTTCTGGAAAATGGTTGTGGGAGGAGCACTTGGAGCAGGATGTGCTTTTTCCTGATATTCCTTTGGGATGCTGCTGGATGCAAGGATTTATTCCCATTTGGAGTTGGAGCTGCTGGGATTCGGCTCTGCAAAGGAAAACTGGGAATTTGGTGGGAATTTGGCTGGAATTTGGCTGGAATTTGGCTGGAATTTGGCTGAAATTTGGCGGGAATTTGGCGGGAATTTGGCGGGAATTTGGCAGGAATTTGGCGGGAATTTGGTTGGAATTTGGTTGGAATTTGGTGGGAATTTGGTGGGAATTTGGTGGGAATTTGGTTTAAATTTGGCCGGAATTTGGTTGGAATTTGGCTGGAATTTGGTTGGAATTTGGTTGGATAATAAGGAAAAATATCCAGCAGGAATGGGATAAAACGGAACCAGAAGCTGGAATGGGAATGAGGACTTTGGATAAATGTGGGAATGTTCAGGATCCAAACTAAAGGAGAATGGGATTCATCCCAAATTTCTTCTTCTGGACAAGTTGGATAAAGATTTCCCAGCACTCAGCACCTCCTCATGGGGAATTTTAGGGAATATGAAAATTCCCAGAAAATCCCAAAGCATGGAATTCTCCAAGGCCTGGCTCCCGTGGATTCCAAGAGATTTTTTGGACATTTGGGAATTTTTCCTTCCTTCTCCGGTGCCTCTTTCCCTGGATTGCTGCAGGAAACTCCAGGAATTCCATCTTTTTCCAGGAGATTTATCCCGATTTTTTTTTTTTTTTTTTCTGAGGAAAGCCAATTCTGAGACCAGGAATTCTGCTCAGCTTCCATGTGGCTGCTCCTGGGAATTCCTGCCGAGTGGTTTTATCAGGAGTGGCGTTTTCCAGCTGTTTTGGGAATATTCCAACAATTTCTGCCTTAAAATTTCCAGCTGGGGGGGATTTAACTCCAGATTTTTTGGGGGATAACATGGAAAATTAAAACTAGGGATATCCTGGAATTGTCTGCTCCATAGGGAGAATTCCATGCAATTCTTTATCCCCAGGAATGGGATTTATTTTATTTTTAATTGATTTTATTCTGAAAATTTTTCCTGCGTGTTTTTCCAACCCGGATTTATCATTGCCAAGAGATTTCCCATTTTTCCCAGTTTTCCTTGTCTCGATTTTCCTTTCCTTTCTCTCCCACCCGACTCATCCTGGTGGGAGATGAGCCTGGAAAAATGAAGGGAATTTTCTGTTTGAATGAGGTCGCTCAGATCCAAAAAAATCCCCAAATTCCAGAGCTCCTGAAAAGGTGAAAAACTTAAGGAGAGAGGTTGGGAATGATGTCCAGAACCATGGAATGTTTGGGAAGAAAATGATCAGTGCTCCAGGGAAATCTGGAATTTCAGGGTTGGGAATTCTGCCCCTGGACACAGAGCAGCCCTAAATTCTCCATCCTTGGAATGACACCAATGGAAAAATGGGAATATGGATACAAAGATTGGATTTCTTTGGAATTGCAATCCCAATCCCAATTTTCAAGGCCCTGTTTAATGAGGAATCACAAAAAAAAAAAAATAAATAAAAATTTAAAAAATTTTTAAAAAATTCTATTGGATTCAGGCTTTGCTCCCTGGGATCTGCCAGATCCATGGGAATTTTGGGATGGGATGTTTATGCCTTAAAAATTCCAGGATGAGATCCAGCTGGGATTGGGGCAGGAGAACTTGGATTCCTTGTCCTGCAGTTGGAATCACTCTGGAAATTTGGGATGAGGCTCCGTTTGGAGAAGGAAGAGGAGTGGATTTATTCCTGATCCAAAGGTTTCCAAGAGGAAAATCCACTCCTTTTCCATGGAATTCCTTCTCTCTCATCCAACTTCCATCCCTATCCCGTTAAAAATAATCAAAACCTCA